TTTGGCTCCTAAGACTTCCCTCTTAACATGATTCCTAGATGACAGTCCTCTGATGTGATCCAGGTTGTCGCCGTCTCTGTTAGATGGCAGCCAGAAGTGGATACAGTGCTACAGGTGCTATCTATGGACTGCACTTTGCTACTTAGTAAATTTCTGTCACCACCACCCAAGTTTCCATTAGCTGCATGCTGTACCTCATAAACACTGAAGCCCAGGGGAGCTCGGCACCTTTCTTTAGCAGTGTCACTATGCCTGTGCCGCATTCGATGTGCGGTGTTAACTCAGACCAGCCCAATTTGAAAATCACCACAGCTCCTCCCCAATATTTGGACAGCTAGACCAAGGGACCACATGCTATAGAAGAGAATTCTCACTGTGTGGGACAATCAACAACTTCTCGTATAGCTATCATGGGCAGTATTTCCACCTTTGCATCTCCGGTGGCTTCTTATAGCTTCTGTTAGTTACACTTTGGAGAGCTGGCTAAGTCATATGGTTTCATTAGTAATAGATTCTATAACAAAAAGCCTTTATTTTTTATATCACTTATGATCTAATCTCTAACATTCCCTTTAAGGATTTGATTAAGTTGAGTATCTTTGTAAGAATACTGACCGATGATGATTAAATATGGTGGACAGAAACTGATTTACAGGCAATAAGCCCTGGGGTTTTAAGCCATATGAAGGCTGTGTGTGTTGAAAGATAAGTAAACAGACAATTTTCAGAATTCATATTTTATACTGATGCTATTACAAACATATTAGCTAGCTCTGAAAAATGGCCTACTGACAATAATTTGCTTTATTTTTGAGTGTTATATACAGCCATCTTGATAGCTATGTTCCAAAGTTTCTAAGCTTTCAGTTGAACTCTACATAAGCCAGTAGCACTCTGTTTGCACAATAGATTTCACATGCTAGTGCAGAGCATTAACATGTAGAAGTGGAGATGGCACAGCCAACATGCCCAGTGATGTCCATGATTAATTAGAAGTTGCAGATATTGCCGAATTTCCAAATTTATTAGTTTCAGTGTAGACCGCTATACTTCATAATTTCTCATTCAGTCAATAAACAATAAATGGTTTGGTAAAAATTTTTATATCTATACTAACAAATATATTAATCTATTTTATATTAAGTTGATTTTCTATTTCATATTAATAAATATCTTAATTGCTATACTGTATATGTATGGGTGTGTCTCTCTCTTTATACATATTTATGATTATTTTAGTTTCCTAGGGCTGCTGTAGCAAATTACCACAAACTGGGTGGCTTAAAACAACAAAAATTTATTTTCTCACCGTTTTGGGGGCAGGAAGTATGAAATCAGGCTGGTGGCAGGGCTATGCTCCCAATGAAGCCTGAAAGAAGGACCCTTCCTTGCCTTTTCCAGCTTCTGGTGATTGCCAGCAATCCTTGGCATTCTTTAATTTGCAGCTGCTTCACTCCAATCTTGGTCTCTGTCTTCACATGATATCCTTCTCTCTGTGTGTCTTTGTCCAAATGTCCCTCTTCTTATAAGGACACCAGTCATTGGGCCCATCCTAATCCAGCATGTCCTTATCTTTTTCTTTTAAATTTATAAACCATGTTTATTCTATTACAGTTGTCTCAATTTTTCCCCCTTTACCCTCCTCTACCCATCCACCCCCACCCCTCTTATCTTGATGATATATGCAAACACCTTATTTCTGGTAAATTCATATTCACATGTCCTGGGTAGACATGAATTCTGGGGGCACATTATTCAGCTAGTGCAATATACAAAGGTTTTATAGAGGGAGGGAGGGGGAGAGAGGAAAGAAGAGTGCATAATTTAGCAAAATGTTAACAAATGGTGAATTTTGGTGAAAAGTGTGTATTTATTTTACCATTCTTTCAAATTTCCTAAACATTGGGAGTATTTCCAAGTAAAATAAAATTTGATAGCAAGTGCTACCTAAAAAAGGGGTTAGGGCCCTGGATATTGTGGCTCAGTGGATTGAGTGCCAGCCTGCAAACCAAGTGTCACTGGTTTGATTCCCAGTGAGGGCACATGCCTGGGTTTTGGGCCAGGTCCCTGGTAGGGAGCACATGAGAGGCAACCACACATTGATGTTTCTCTCCCCCTTTCTCCCTCCCTTCCCCTCTGTCTAAAAATAAATAAATAAATAAAATATTTTAAAAAATTAAAAAAGGGGTTGGGGGACATTGTCCTTGTCCATAACACTATCTCCATGTTATGAAGGACACAGTAGAGGGACATGCATCACGATAATCTCAGTGCGCATGCGATAGAAACAGAGACAACAGTGCTAACTCAGGCTGGGCGCATTAAGGAAGGGTTTCCATGAGAGGTGACACCCAAATGAACAGAGGTTTGAAGGACAGTGTGGAGTCAGCTGTGTTGTGAGAGCGCGCTTGGGCAGCTGCCAGCAGACCAGAGTGGGTAGAGCAAAGGGTGTGCGTGTAAAAATGGTGAGAGTGGAACTTGGAGAGCGGCAAGAGCATGTCTTTGAGGACACTGCATTGAGAGAACCGGCTTTCGCCATGAAGGCCAGGAGGAGACAAAGCAGGACGTTAGGCAAGGTATAGCTGGAGCAGCTTTTTGTTTGGGGGCCAAGAATGTGGAGAAACCTGGAGACAATCAGTTGGGAGAATAGAGGAACAAGCCAGATGGGAAACATGGGGCTTCAGAGGAGGAGAGGGTATGTGAGAGCGGCGAAAGGGCCGAAAAGGAAAGGGCATGGCTGCTGAATGGATAGAGGTGTGGAAGAGGGAGGAAGAGGGTGGTTTGGGTGCCTGGGCAGTTGACGCAGCCTTCCCTGCAGGGGTAGAGGAGGAAGAGAAGGCAGGGCAGCAGAGAGAAGGTGGTGGAGGGGCATGCAGGCTGTGCTCGGTTTGGAGGTGCTGAACTTGAGGGGCCAGGTGGAGGGCCTCAGAGAGGTGACCTGAAGCCCAACAACAGACCTGGCCTGGTGATTCCTGCATATGCTGGTGTGAAATCATGGATTATGAGATTTCCCGGCTAGTGGGTGGAGAGAAGAATGTAGTTACAAGTAGAAGGCCGGGTATGAAACCCCGAAAAGCAGGGTGAAAGGAGAAGACCCAACAAAGGAGACCAAGGAGAATCGGACAAAGAGGGCAGGAATTTGAAAATCTGATTGGCCCCCTTTGAACATCATCAATCTGCAGCCATAGGAAGGAAATAAAAGAAAGGGGGAGAGAAGTGTTGGGTGCACTTCACACCTTGCCAGACAATGGCCTTCCCTGACTCACTTGCAGTCTCTGGCAGGTTATTTTTAACTGCCACTTGTAAAGTCAATGTTTGTACTTTGATAATTGTCCTGTCCAATGGCTTGTTCTGAACTCTAACCTAGGAGGTTACTGTAAGAGCCCAGGCGTGGTATGTGAGAGAGAAGCTGGGTGAATGAAATATAATAATCCTGTAGCTGCCAGCCTGATACCCATGACAGATCAAACAATCGATGTGCATTGTGTTCCGCTGCTTGCATCACCTGGTCATGAGTTGTCTGTGGAATTTGTGGAATGGATTGTTCTCTTAGAGTCACCCAATATCTCTAAACAATGGGAGCACACATTCTTAGTTTTATATAAGGGCTAAGGAGGAATGTTCCATCTATCTGATCAGAAGCAGCAGCCGTTGCGGCTGCCTGCCTGCCTTCTCTCTCTTTCTCCTCCTCCTCCTCCTTGTCCCCTCCTTTCCTCTTTAAGGAAGAAAAAACAGGGATGGAGGGAGGGGAGGAAAAGAAAGATAGATCCACTGTGCAGAAGTCACCAGAAGAATGGCATCACAGGTAGGAGGGAAGATAAATATGAAATATGGGAAATAAGGGTACTCTGGGTTTTTTGCTTCATGGAATATGTTTCTATTTTTTTGAATACTCTTCTACAAAAAGGTACTCAAGTATGAGGTAACCACTGTGAGGCCCTACCTTACTCATTTTGTGAGACTTAGGAGCTGAGAAAGCCCCCTTCTCAAACTGCAACATTTCAGGGTATTTTGGTTGCATGTGACACAAAGCCCCACTCAAAGTGGGCTAAACAAAGAAAACGACGAACTCAGCACTGGAAAGTTCAGGAGCAGTGGTTTCTGTGTACATTTGATTTAGTAACTTGCCGGGTGTCTTTACTTTCTATGGTGTCAATTTCACACTAAGGCTGGCTCCATGTTTCACCTCCAGAGAGCGGAGGCCTGTCCTTATTGCTGGCTGGATCGCCCATGACCAACCTCTCTGGTCTGGGTCATGCCACGTGCTGGACTGGCTGAGGCTTGACTTCCTTCCCTGGACCAGCCTCTGCCGCAGCAGAGGCGGGCTCACCCCAGACATGCAGTCGCCATGTGCACAGTGAAGGGAGGGTGGAGCGGAGGCTGGGTGCAGACCACAATGCCCACTGCTACGTCTCCTAACAAGTTCCTTCAAATTCCTGCACTGAGGTTTCACACTCCTTTAAGAGGGCTTTAAGCCTCTCATGCTGAAATTTGAGATAAAATTGAAATAGTAACAGTGAATTTACACTAAAATGTGTTGAGGGAGCAATTTTTTACTATTGTAAATGTCAAGTAAGCTAAGAAGTAATTTTATTTCTCTATAATTGAATTAAATGAACTCACGTGCCACCCCCACCCCCCATTTCTGCTTGGTAACAGAAAACTCAATCTTTTAAATTTGAGATAAATTTAATTACTTCTGGTTTAAAACCCAGTATTTTTATTTTTATTTTTGAAAAGCACTTGTTATTATTCAATGAACCTTCTTCCATGTGACTTCAAGCCCCCAGGATATAGCTCCCAAACCCCTCCATACACTCTTGATCCTCTTGGATCTTCTGCTAAAGACCTTGGCCTTCACCGTGACAGCCTGTGTTGAGAGCTTTTCCTTCCCTGGGACCCTGCTGTAGCCCTAGAACGGAGGAAGGGGTTTATACACCTCCCTGGTGGGTCCAAGGAAATAATGCCTTCCAACCCCGTCCATCTAGGAACGAGCAAGGGCATGTTTCTGCTTGGGGCATGGCTGGGAGCACTGGTTGCCCCCTGGGGAATCAAGACAAGCGGATTCTCTCTGAAGACTCAAGCACCCCAAGACAAGAGTTGTGTCAGGATGTGACTCTAGTATCGGGGAACCCAGTCCTTCTTGGGTAAATTCTTAGCCAATTTAAGATTTTTCTCCTCCTCCCACAGGCCCCCCCCCCCAATTTTTTTTAACCATCTCTCTAAGGATGCTCTCGGGTTTTGGTATTCTTACGTACAACCTTGACATTGACGGAATGGGCAACCGTGAGCTCCTCCTTGTGAGGAGGCTTCCCCTGAGCGGGCTTTGGCTCTTGGCATCTGTCCTCACTGCCATCCACTGCTGATATCCAGGGCCGGCCCTGTCCTTTGCTTTCCAGGTTCCCGCACCTTCAGGACAGGACATTACCAGTCCACTGGCTTGCCCACAGCCCAAGCCTTGCCTGGTCTCAGCTCCTCTGTGCTGCTCTGATGCTGCAGGACTTGCAGGTGGAGGTGGTGGGTCTATCCGAGAGGGTCCCTCCAGCTCGACCTGCCCTGTGGCCATTGCCCCTCCCATCGGCATCGGGCTCTCTGTGAGAGTATCTCCTTGGAGATTCTTGAGGCGGTGGAGACAGTGCTCCTGACCCAAGACTCTCAAACCCTCCTGAAGGGTCCCATCACCTCTGCTCCCAGGGTGTGGACTTTCCATGAGCCACCCTGATCAATGACTTGCTCTCTTGCTCTCTTTTTTGCTTTAGTTCCAGCCCAGCAAAGATTTTTATTTAAATCATTTCTCTGTCTCATTTAAAGGGGACAGGTAAGGTTTACCTAATTTTCATTCTTTTGAGTCTCTTGGTTATGGCATAAACCCTGCAGCTTGGTAGCTTTGCTCTAGGCCTGGACATTGCCTGCAGTCATGTGATTTGAAACTATTTTTCTCATCTTTAGCAATACAATAGGAATTTCTCACAAATTGAATAGTATGGTATGCTCAAGCGTTGTTTCTTATTGATGTTGTTCCTGGAAATACACTTGGCACAATATCGCCTTTTCTGGGGCTCCTGGTCCTATTCTCTTGAGGTGAGCTGTGATATACAGAAATCTGATATTGACTGTTTTTCTTCTGAGATTCTCATTTTTAACATTAAAAAGGGGGTCTTATCTGAAAAAATCATTGCTTACAAGGCAAATGGGAAAGCATTTAGGAGCAAATGACAACTGTTTCTGCTGTGTCAGTAGTGGGCTATTTGTATAAGGCATGGCTTAACAAAGTATTTGAAAAACATGGAGTAAAGTCTGGCTGAATACATTTAGTGCATGGTATTGCAACTTCATGTCCATTTCCTTTTTCTGTGCGGAAGCTCTCTCAGGAGGAAGCACTTACAAAGTCCAGGTTCTCCTGGAACAAGGCTTAGATTAGCTGCTGTGATGACCAGCTCGCAGACACAGCTTGACTCTTCATCCTCCTCTTGGATCTTGTCAATAGACACACATCTCTTGGTTCCTTCAGTGCTTAACTGAGAGCAAATATCACTGAAAAGGGTGGGAGTTTTCTTAGGATTAAAACTTGTGTGTAGTTCTGTTATCCTTAGTATATTTAGTTGCCTTTTCTCTTTTCTTCAGTAGACATTGAACCTAACATTCTAAGTAAGTGAGCCATCAACACAAGATCAAAAAAATATCTTGGGTGAGAAAAGCCCAGAGAAAATTTTTGTCTTCCGGTAAAGGGACAGAGCACATGAGATGATCTTCAACTCTCACACTCACACAAGCTTCAAAAAAGACAGAAAGTTGAGCTGAGAGGACCAGATTAACAAGAGACACTCCGAAGAAAAGCCCTCCTCCCCTCCTGCATCTGCACCCTAGAGACAAGGATGGCCACACGTGGGAGGCTGGATACTAACTAGTCGGTCCTTGGAGGAATAGCCTCCTAACCAACACCTCAGTGGCCTCAGATGAATAAAAAGGAAAAACTACCAAGGAATACACTTGCTTTCGCAGATGGCCCTTGGGTGCATTAAGTTATTCTGAAACAGTGACTTCCAATTTTCTAGTACTGTTTTCATTCACGGCTGGGATCTGTGGCTGTGGAGGGCTCACTGTATGCATTGTTCCTTGCCATTTATATAAGGGGCTTGGGCATCCCTGGATTTGCATATCCCCAATTCTTCCCCTGTGTTTTATTTTGGACTTAGGGACACGTTTCCTCACTTTCCTCTTTTGTAAAATGTGTATAATACTAATTGACCTCTCAGGGTTGTTATTTAGATTAAGTTGATTAACTTTAGACTACTTAGCACTGGGAAACATTTGCAGCGAGAAGTTATAGTTACACTGATGGCAATTAATAGGACTTAAGGCACTGCACCAAATATCCTGACCACCATTTCATTTCCAAACGTCAACTGTAGGAAGTAGAAACCAGATTTGGTAAGACATTTTAAACTAGATATTTTATTGAGCTGATTTAATATGGATAGAAAGCCAGCCTTCAGCAGAAACCTGCCTCTCATTTAATGAATAACCCATCACCATAAAATAAGTGGGGAGAGGCTGGCCAGGAGGCAGGCTGCAAACAATTCCATGTGAGTCACTTGGTTATCGCTTCTTCCCACATTCATCTCCCTCCTTACAGCACAGAGGCTTTGACTGATTGAACTTAGTTTGGGCAAGGATTCCAGACAGGGAAAAGCAAATACGTAAGTCAGAGGTCAGGGGAGAAGAATAAACCAGGCCAGGGGAAGAAATGCCGAGCTGATAACTGAAAGGTAATGGATGTAGGGGTGGGTTTCAACAGCAAAAAAAATAGGGAGCCAGACAACCCGAGCTTTTTCAGGCATCTGCTCAAGGCCCAGGGTTACAGCCCATCTTAAAAGAAGGCCTGTGGGGAATGGGTTTCTAAATATTTGGGCTGCCCAGCATGGAATTTTGGGAAATGGTACTGTTGAGTAAAGCCATTAACAAATTGCTTTCCTTTTATTTCCTTCACTGGCAGGACCTTCTGTTTATGTCTCCTTAGTAGCAACTAGAAGGAGAAAATTTGCTGACAAGCATCTGTGTGCAGTGGGCCACCTGATGGAATTTTTATCAGGCAAAAATGATCCCAGATGACTAGTTGAAAGATTGCCAGGAATCTCGGGAATCTCATTAAACCTAAGTTGAACACACAGAAGTTTCGTTTTAAGGTAGAGCTGAGGTGAAGAACTTATAAAAATGAGCTGAATTGATTTTGTTACTTTTGTAAATATTTGAACTTTGTAATAGGCATTCATTCCCAGCTTGCTCTCAAGGATATTGGAAGCTGGACATCGGTGATGCTGTGGGCCAAGGATAGGTTTTGAATTTAGACTTTTGATTAGACACATAGCTCCACTATTTACTAGAGATTTATTAGAGATTACAACTTAATCCCTCCATGCCTGGGTAATGTCATCTGTAAATTGGATATATGACCATCCTCATCCTGTAGTTTATACCAAATAATGAAGCAACTAGATCCTGGTCTCAGGAGAACTTCAGAGATTATATAATCTTTTTCTTTCTCTTTTATTCCAACTTCCTTCCAATCCTGCTCCAGCAACTTTTTATTTGAAACAGGTTTTGCTAAACTTATGAATAATGCAGGAGACCTGCAGGAGGAGAGGGGGTGAGTCCTGTGGTTACCTGGGCGGGGGTGTTAAAACAAAAAAAACCCCATCAAGTGTAAAGACTGTGCAGTAGATGTGTACTGGGAGAGTTCAGAGTCCCGGGGGAAGCCAGGGTGTCTAATGTAGAGTAAACCCAAGGGAGGGTGACGGAAAAAAGGTCAAGGAGATACAGGGGGAAATTGTGTGATTGTTGAGGGCCTTGCAGGTCATTCAGAGGACTTGAGCTTTTACTCTAAGTGGGTTGGGAAGCCATTTGATAGTCTTAAGCTGAGGAGTGATGTGTTTGACTTAGTTTTAGTTTTAAAAGGCTGCGGTACTGAAATACATTATGGGATATGTATTAAATCATCATGTTGCACACCTTAAACTGACATATGTTACATGTCAGTATCTCAGTAAAGCTGGAAAAAATAAAAAGAAAGAAAGAAAGAAAATGCAATATGGGGTAAGGATGTGGAGTGACTAAAAAGGGCACATGGGTAGAAGTGGGAACACCAGTTAGGATCCCAGTAGAAAATCCAGGCAGGAGATGGTGGCAGGTCAGAGCTGGTCAGTAGCGGTGTCGGTGGTGAGAAGTAAGTCAGATTGTGAACATATTTCAAAGGTAACAATTTAGGCTTAGCTGATGGATTCAATGTGTAATGAGAGAGAGTCTTCTTTAAAGCTTTTGGTCTGAGAAATTGGAGTAATTTTATTTGCCACAAAAGAGAAGGTTGAGTAGAACACCAGGAATTTAATTTTAGTCTTGTAAAATTTGAGATGCCAAGTAAATATTCAACAGCAAGCAATTGAATATATGAGTCTGGAGTTCAGATGAAGTACAGGCTATAGAGAGAGAAGAAAGTATAGCTGGATCAATATGTAAGATTGGAAGTATTTTTTTAAGGTAGGAGAAATAATAGAATTTTTTTAGTCATAAGAATAATCCAATAGAGTGAGAAAATGTAATAATGCCTGAGAGGAGACAATTGCTGGACTAGTAGATTTGATTAGGTGATGAAGGATAGGATCTTGTGCACAAATAGGACCATCACTATAGTTGATTCCTCTCTAGTAACAGAAAATATGATAAAATATATGTAGCTATAGAGATCCACATGGTGGTATGAGTTTGAGGAATTGTCATCTGATTATATCTGTTTTCTTGGTGAAAATAGGAAGCAAAGTCAATATAAGAAGATGAAAAAAGGTTGAAAGCTTCAAGAGAGTAACAAAGCTATGACACTGATCAGGGAACTAAATGGATCATTTTGGATTGCTAAGTGAATGAATTTACAATTGCCAGGTAGCATTAAGGTTTGATTTGGGGTTGAAGGTCATGGATTTAAACTGAGACAAGCCACTTTCATCTGTGTGGAGTAGGTGGAGAGCTCAGTTGAATCAAGACTGGGGTTTTGCCAGCTGAGTATGAGAAAGAGGGAAAAGAGCAAAAGAACTTAGGTTTATGCAAATAACTGATTGTAATGATAGTCCATGAGCATTAAGACGGGTAAGGAAGGAAGTGTGCACAAGAAATGGACCAGAAGCAGTGAAAGAGCTATAGGACCAATGAGTGGTAAGTCTTTATGGGATCAAGACATTATTGGAGTCAGAGTATTAAAACAAATGAACTGAAAAGAGAGGAGGGGGAAATGCAAATTAAAACCACAATGAGATATTACTTCATCCCACCAGAATGATTGTAATAAACGACAGATAATAGCAAGTGTTGAGAGTGTTGAGAAATTGGAAACTTCATTCACAGATGATAAAATTATAATGATACAGTGACTTTGGAAAAGAGACTGGGAATTCCTCAAAATGTTAAACATAATGACTCAGCAACTCCACTCCTAGGTATAGGCCCAAGAGAAATGAAAGCATATGCCACTTTAAAAAGTTGTACACAAATATTTGTTGCAGCATTATTCATAATACCAAAAAAAAATGGAAACAACCCAAATGTCCAACAGCTGATGAGTGGATAAATGAAATACATCCATACAACAGAATATTATTTGGCAATAAAAAGGAAGTTTTGATAGATGCCACAATTTAGATTAACCTTGAAAACATTATGATAAGTGAAAGAAAGAAACCAATCACAAATGGCCATATTTTGTGTGATCTGAAATATAAAGAATAGACCAATAGAGAGAGACAGAAAGTATATTGGTGGTTGCCTAGAACTGGAAGCAATGTGGAGATTGGAAAGGGTGATGAAGGCTAATATGTATGGATTTGGGGGGGAGTGGTGATTAAAATATTTTAACATTAGTTATGATAATGGTTGTACAACTCTGTGAATACATTAAAACCATTGAATCTTATACTTTAAAGTGGTGCATGTTATGATATGTGAATTACATCTCAATAAAGCTGATGCAAAAACCAAAAAACATATGGCGGTCAGAGAGTGGATTGCTTGAAATTGGGATCATGAAGGCTTTGCACATTGGTAACGCCAAGAGTCAGGGTCTGACCATGGAAGCAGGTATCTGAGACGGCATGAAGAGAGAGTCAAGGAAGACAGAGGCCCGAACACTGGGGGATCATCTATGAGGTTATGGGCATCAAGTGTGTGGGCAGGAGTAATATTGATGAGCGGTCTGACAGTGGGGGATTGGTAAAAATCTTCAGGAACAAGGAGAGACCTGAGGTTTTGCCAGTGACTACAACGAGGAGGCGTGACAGCAGGTGGGATTCGAGAGCAGGCAGTGCAAAGCTGGGGAGACGTCAGAGAGACTCTTCTGGAATTTGGGTGTTGGTGAAGGACTTAAAATGTCCTGAAGAATTAGGGACTTACTATACTTTCCTTTCATTCAGGTATTCTTTCATGCAACACATATTTCTTCTTTTTCTGGCACCATTATCTACTCAGCTGGCCATCTCTGCAGATGCAGCCAAGTGTGGTCGAGCTGAGTGGGGACGGCTGCAGTGTCCCAGCCGCTGAGTGGAGCCGCCTTCAGTGAGCTTCCCCGCCAGTGAAGGGCCCTACTGGTCGGCTTGTACCCTTTCCTTGATCGCCCTCGCCATACTGGCCATCTCTCTTGTTTAGGTCACACTAACACAGTGAGTGATTTTATTTTCCTGAAGGAGTGGGGCGCTGCCTGCTTTATAGTTGAGTGGGAAGATAGTTGAGTGGGAAGATGTATAGTTGAGTGGGAAGCTTTGGCTTTGGACAGATCTGAGTTTGGATTTCGGGTCTGCTCTCTGTAATTTTGTGACTGAGCAATTTAATTGAGTATGAGTTTTGTTGTCAACAAAATCCATACCTCATACGTGTTGGTGAGAACTATATGACATGCGTGTCAAGCTTTTAACAGATAGGTGACATGTTCTTTTGTCCCCATGTTTTTGTTCCTTTGCTTTTATGCTGAGATTGCTTCTGCTGTTTTATTCCTAGCTTTCAGCAGGTCCAGCATGTGTCTTCTAATCAGAAGCCTTCTCCTAGGAATGGTCGACATTATCATGCTGACTTCCCCACTGTCATAGAATCACTGCAGAGTTTACTGTAGAGTACTACCTCAGGCTTCTCAAAGTGTTTTATATAATTTTTCTAATTTAACCTTTAAAATAACCTGTAAGGCATAAAAAGAGGTATTAATATTCCTAATTTATGGAAGAGAATATAAGGTACTGAGAGAAACTAACATTCATTGAGTATTTACTAAATGGCATTTTTCTAAACACTTTGCAGGCATTAACTTAATCCTCACAATAATCCTATGTAGGGTATTATTATCCTTATCTCACAGAAAGGGAAACAGGCACAGAGAGGTCAAATAACTAGTTGAAGGTCACATATCTTCTAAGTATGGGGTCAGGATTTGAATCCAGACAGTTTCACTCCAAAGCCTAAGCACCATATGGTTCTGATAGAATGAAAGGAAACAAATCATTGTTCAGAACTCCCGAGTGAAGAAATCCTTTTGGTGGTTGCTGCTCTGGTAGATTTCTGGCCTGCAGAATGTCATGTAGCGTGAAATGTTGGTAGCTCACACTGGACTACTAGAATCCTATTGTTGTACTGTGGGGAGCCTGTGTGTGAGCTTGCTTACCTGATTTCCTTCTAGCTCGGCCACCACTGACATTCTGTTGCAAAGACCAACAAAGGCAGTCCCTCTAAAACAATAGCAATGACAATAGTCTCCCTTGTCACACTGCAGTTCTGCTCGTTGCAAGCCAAAGCTGTCTCACATCCTAAATCTAAAACCTAGGGGAAACTTTGGAGAACTTTCGGAAACAACCACAGTTGACCCTTGAACAATGTGGGCATTAGCAATGTGAGCACCCCTACACAGAGGAAAATCTACATCTAATATTTGATTCCCCTAAAACTTAAGTTGTTCCTCAGTACCCATGGGTGATTGGTTCAGGACCCCTGAGGATACCAAAATCCACAGATTTCTAGATCCTCTATATAAAATGGCATAGAGTGATACATTCATTCTCTTGGCCCTTTGCATCCTTGTACTCCCAACTGTGGATCAAAACCAGCACAGGTATTTATAGAAAAAAACATCTGCATGTAAGTGGATCTGCACAGTTCAAACCTGTGTTATTCAAGGGTAACCTGCAGTGCATGGGGTTCAGACAAATTTCATAATGATTCTTGGGCTCAATTGGACTTTTCCTTAGGAAGCCGAAGAATATCTGGCCTAAGATTGAACCATTGAGCGCTAAGGAAACTTGGAACAACAGAACTAGCGTGTCTTTGCTAAGTGCTAGAAATCTGCCAGCTAAGGCATTTTTCTAAGGAATAGATGAGCAAACATTCAAAACATCTAGAGGTTTTTCATTCTCCTTGCAGCCATTGATTTTATTTCTTGATCACTAGAATTTTACCAAGACCAGGAGTAGGGAAAAATAAAAGAAGCTGAAACTAAAGTCTTACCAATTTAGTATGTCAGAAACTTTGATATAAATTTGATGAAGAATTGGAAATTGTTATCTAAAAGAAGATGAAGTATTATGTTTTATGTGTGTGTGTGTGTATACACATTTGACTATTGTCCTATGATTCCTATTCCAATTGGTTAGTAATAAGAAGTAGATTTATTGTATATATTTATGAAATATATATGTAATTTATAGATTTTATTTATTTTCCAAAGATCTAAGCTCTCCATTGGTGTGTTATTGAAAAAAAGTTCTCTTTCTCTTGTAAAATAGTTTATACATGCATTCTCTATCTGTACATTTTAATTGATTCGCTATATATATTATACGTAATATACTCTTTTTTCATGAATAAATATGATAAAATCAGTCTAATAACTGAAAACATATGACTTAAACATAAGTAAATGAGACAAATAAAAGGGTGTTTCTTAGGAACATGGAATAACGATGCTAAAATGCTTAAAATTACTTGGGGAATAGAGTAAAATATAAATAAATGCCTTTAAATCTTAAAGAAAGTGCTTGCCCAAGTTTTGATCTGACTGGAGCAGAAAGAGGGAATTGAGGCCCGCCCGCAGTCCGCCTATGCTGCCTCTTGTCCTCTGACCTGACCCAGCCCCTTCTCTCTTTGAAGTTCTGTGGCGTTTACTGAGGTCCAGCATGTAATGACTGCAGGGGCCCAGGGAGTTCACTGAGAAGGAAAATCACACCGGCACACTTTCTGAGGAAGAGTCACACACACAGGCACGCACAGACACATGGACACACACCTTAGGAACTGGAGAGTTTTGCCTTTGCCACAGCCTAGGGCTTCCCAGGGCTCCAGGCACTGGAGACTCTGAGAAACCGGTTTGGGGTTAGAACTACCTCACAAGCCTCTTTCTAAGACATGAGTGCCCGGTCATCGGCTTAGGAAGTTCAAACACCAGGAGCTCAAAGGACTCAACTTGGAGGACAGTGGTCTGTTGACTGTCGATCATGTTTGCTGGGCTTTCTCCTCCTTCAGTGTCCTGAAAAGGGGTGGAGCAAAGGATGACTGGGGGAAAAGCAGGAGGCCTCCATGGCTGATGCTGATTCTACTGCGTGCAGTGAGGGGTGGAAGATCGAATGTGCATAACCCCTTTACCTACTTCTCTCTATAAATGATGATGATGATGATAAAGGTTATTATTTATTGCTTCCTTACACTGTGCCGGTACTGTGCTAAGCATTCCATTCATTATCGTAATGTAATTTCATTCTTTCAATAATCCCTAGGGGTAGGTGCTATTATTTGCACCTTCCTGGCTTTTTCAGAAAGTAAACTGAGGCTTAGAGGAAAGGAATAACTTGCCTAGGGTCACACAGCTAGGAAGTGGTTATGGTAGATAGTATAATGCTTCTTCCCCAAAGATGTCTACATTCTATTCCCTGGTACCTGTGAATATGTGTATATTTCATGGCAAAAGGGAATTACAGGTGCAGATGGAATTAAGGTCATTAATCAGCTGACCTTGAATTTGGGGAGACTCTCCTGGATTATCTGATGGGTCCAATGTAATCACAGGTCCTCACAAATGAAAGAAGGAGACAGGAGAGTCAGAGTGATGCATGTGAGAAAGACTTCACTGGCCATTGCTGGCTTCGAATATGGAAGAGGCGCATGAGCCAAGTAATGTTGGCAGCCTCTAGAAGCCAAAAAAGGGGGGAAAAAAGATCCTTCTCTAGAGCCTCCAGAAAGAACACAGCCCGATAACACCTCGGTGTTAGTCCCGTGAGGCCCATTTTGGATTCATTACCTCCAAAACTGCAAGGCAATAATTTGTGTTGCTTTAAGCCACTACATTTGCAATAATTTGTTATAGCAACAATAGGAAGCTTGCACAGTGATAAAGCTGGAGTCTGAAGTTTGGCTCTGGAGCTGAAGCCCTTAACCCCAGCCCTATAGTGCTAAGCTGTAGTGAGCCATAGGCACAGAGTAGCATAGGTCTTGGAAGAAGAGAACAGGCCACTCCGCTTAGCAGCTCCACCAAAAAGGACCTGGGACTAAAAAGCCTAGGGAAACACCAAACAGACTACAAACACGCCAGGAATGGGAGACTCTCTGCCCCCATCAAACAAGGGAGTGGAGTAGGGGCAAGGCAAGCCAGTTCCCCAGACAGTGAACCCTTGGAACCAGGATATTTCCTCATTTACCACATTTATTCTTCAATGTTGAACATGGGCTATGAGTCAGGCACTGTGTCCGGTGCAAAGGATACCAAAGTGAGTAAGTTTTGTCTGGTCCTTCAAGGAACAGTCTAGCAGGGACACAGTCAAATAAACCATTACCTTTCAGTGGGGTAGTGCTGTGGCCTAGTATATGGGAAAGCATAGCACAGGCATGTGACCAGTCTCAGGGGTTCAGGGATGGCTCCCTAGGGAAGGTAATCACCGAACTTACTTGTAAAAGATGAGTTTGGGGGTTGTGGGAGGTTAGGGTTACCCTAGCTGACAGCAGTCACCGTCTCACACATTGGTAGTCACCATGCCAAAAGGGAAAGGAAACTCTGGAGGGCCTCTGCTTGGCGGCGACGCATGTTTTCTTCTCAAAACACAGGGACCAGAAATAGTTATGCTGCTCCATTCAACTGCAAGGGCCCCAGCCTAGGTCTCAGGGAATGAGGAGCATTTGCCGTGCAGCCAAGGCAGGGAACCAGGAGTGCTTGTGAACAGCATGGAGGACCCCACCGCTGTGTTCGTCAGACATTTCGCATCTGGCACCGTTAAGCCAAACACAAAACAATTCAGGAAGACTGGTTTCTACTTTCTTAGACTTTTTACTAGCCATCAATGGTCTTAAACCTTCTCCAACAATAGATTTCAGTACTATCATCCCAATGCTCCACAATGATTTTGTCTTTTGATATTATGCCCCTATGACTTCTGTAACTAAGCATATTTTCTTTCTGCTTTTGCCACCAAGAAGCTGAGATCTAAAACTGCTTTCCACTCCACTCCAGATGTCTGCAAACAATTGTACTAGAAAAAATCATCTGCAAACAATTGTACTAGAAAAAAATCAGTCTTAACAGGATCAACTTA